TGACTTCTTATGTTTACGCCTTCCCACTTCAATCCACTCAGCATTATTCGCATCGATAATGGTATTCGCTGCTGCATTAGCTAATATATTTTTAGCGGCCACACCAGCAACAGCTGAGGTCTCAGCAGAAGGTGTGTACTCGTACGCCTAACTATCTAAAGTTTTAGAAAACTTTTACTGGTTTTGCGTTCTCGTACCCCAAAAACTTGCAAAGTAGGGGAAATTGAGAGAGCAAAATGTGAAAGAGAGCTGCAAATTTCTGCTGGAAAAATAGTAAGAAAATCAGCTGATCATAAACACATGTTTGTAAATAAACAAAAGAAAATATGGCATTTTGGGGTAATTTATTGCAAATTTTATTATTAATGCTAGTATATAACTAAAAAGTGCGTAAATTTAATAAGCACAACGTTTGTTGAGTTTATTTTTCGTTAATTTGCTATTCATCTCCAGTTTGTTTACTTTACTGCGTGCTGACTATGGTTGCCGTATGACATTTTTCGTTTGTACCATAATTTTCCTTTGAATATACCAAAATAGATTTAAATGCAACATGCTGAAATGTAGTTTTGCTGAAGTTTTCGGTTTTGGTAGGTTGGTTGTTGAAATGAAAATTTTATAATTTTAAAGCTACGTCTGTAGCTATATCTATTACCTTGTTTTTGGATCAATGATGGGTGTTTGGAGGAGATACTCTTGTTTTTGAGTGTGTCACCATGTGATATCACAAAAAATTATGAGAAAAATAACTTATTCATTCCGATATAATTAATTTGTATTTTAAAAAGGTTTTTCTTATCGAAAACTATTCAATTGTATAAAATTCCAAATCGGGGGAAAATGTACCAAACAGAAAATAAATTGCCAAATTAATCACCAGTGGCAACTGTGCAAGGGATCAGCTGATTCGAAGGTTGCAAGTTTTTGCAAATTTTGCGTTCTCGTACTTCTGCTGATATTTCGTCTCTTTGAGAGCGAAAGCTGCTAAATTCTCAGAACTTTTGCTACTGGAGAATTTTGTCCTCTCAATACGAGTACACACCTAGAGTCAGCATCAACAAAGGCAGACATGGGCACTTTTTTGCCCGCGCAGTAGCGAAAGTGCGAGCGCGGGCTGGAGAAAGGGAAAAACAGTTTACGGGAGGAAGGGTATGAAAAGTTGCGAAAAAATTATTTATATCCCACCGACATCATGTTCATCGCAGTACGGCTGCGGTAATACTGACTTTGTGTACCAAACAAAGAGCATATATTTTCCTCATATACAGGGTTGCCACTTTGGTAAATTGTTACCAAAATTGGTAGAAAAGATTTGGGTTGGTAAAAAGGTAAATTTTTTCTCATTTTGGTAGATTTTTGTTGAACTTTTCGTTCCCGATTTATTTTACGTAGTTATCTTTATATTAAAAATTTCTTTGCATACTTCTTATATACTTACATAAGTATAAATGTATATGGATATAAGGCGAACATATCATGCTCCATTCAAAACTCATTTTACTGGAATCCCCAGGAGCTTTTGATTGCCTAAATATTTTAAATGATTATTTAAATACGTATAAAGAATTTACTGGTATGCAACGAAGCCCTATGATTATTTGCCAAAAAATTAAATCAACGCCATTTTTTATCAATAGAAATTGTTAAATTAAAAAAACACAAAAGACTGGCGACAAAAAAAAATCAACGGGAAGCACATTGTGAGCTATACTCAAGTATTGTTTGCTTTAAAACTCGGTACCTTAAATTGTTCTAAAAAATTTTTGTGAACTTTTCTAAATGTTGTATGTATATAGTTTGAATCCTCAATTTTTATAGATTTTTAAAGCAAGAAAAAATTTGTTCTTGAAAAAGATTGCGAATAATAAAAAAAAATCACCAAGTGCCTTTTTGAGTCACTGTATTTATTAATTAATTAATTAATTAATCCCAACGGCTTTTTACCCTCCATTCCCGCCCAACCGACACGAGGGGCGCAGTCCGCATGACGTACGGAAACTTTTTTTTTAATTTTTTTTTTTAGTTTTTTCGTGCCGAGTAGTGGAAACAGGAGTTTGTTAAGTGTCGAGATCTAAAACTATTCAGCTACAGAATCAAATTCATCAGCTGATTGGATATGCTAAAGATAGTATTTCAATTATTGAGAGTGGAAATAATAGTTTTCTTTATAGTAAAAATCGAGTCCGATACGTCAAACGTGCTGGAATGACAGTTAAAATCTTGACATAAACCACGGAATGATTCGTTTAGTTCAAAATTAGTTTTGCATGGCTTTAAAAATAAAGGTCGAAAGTGTCTTGACACTCGAGAAGGAACATTAAAATTTACCTCAGCCAGGAGGGCCGGGCTATTAATCAAGCCTGTCACTAATTTTACGATAAATATTATACCCAGCATTTCTCTACGACTTGCGAGTGTAGGCAAATTTATGAGCTTAAGACGACTTGTGTAAGGGGGGAGATTGTAATCTGAATCCCAGTTAAAATTACGCAATGCAAAAAGCAAGAATTGTTTTTGAATTGATTCAATCCTTTCTGAATGAACTTGGTAGCGGGGATTGTCTATAATAACTCGAGTTGAAGTTTTTCAAATTATGAAGTTTCGTTGTTGCCTTTAGTTTCATCACTTCCGCTTTCGGTTGAAAGAAACTGCGAATATGCCAACAATATGACTCAAATACCGTATAATTAGTTAAATAAAAAGTTCCTTAAAAACAATTTTAATTCTTATTGAAATAACTAAAAAAATAAAAACTAGTTTTAATTAAAATAAATAAAAAATAACAAAACTATAGTTTTTATTAAAATAACTATAAAAAATTTATTGGTAGATATTTTCCAGATTTGGTAGATTTTTCTCAAGTGAATGGTAAATTTTTTTTTCCTTCAGTGGCAACCCTGCTCATATACACAATAAGCCATCGTTCGGACTTCGCTCCGATAGGAGTAGATTTGTTCCGTTTTGTCGAAAAAATTTGAAACCTAGTCCTCTACTTCGCTCAACTGAAAATCTGCCCTGTTTTGTTGCATAAAGAAATTTACTCTTCAAATAGAAAGTAGGTGGGGTTTTGAATAGCAAACTAAAAGTTATATTTTACCTTTTTATCGACACGATTGTTACATTGGTGAGCTACAGCAACTTTGCAAATACAGT